AGCTGCACCTCAGTATAGCTATGTGAATGGTCGCTGGATAAGAAATGCATCTCAGTGAAGTCAATAAGAATCTTGCTGCAGGGAAAATTGGGCCACTGGGATGGATCTGACAACCAAGCCCTTATTTAAAATAGATTTTTTTAGCATATCGCTTCCAGTGGTCCATACTGCAAAATGATGATATGATTTGTGATACCATTATTCTGGGAAGATTAGTGAAAAACTAAGGACTTTGGAAGATGTTATATTGGTCATGTGTTCGATGTGAGTATCACATCAATTGTAATACAACAGTGGGCCACACATTAAAATTATCATGGGATATTTCCATGCCACAAAGAAGTTGATGTTCCACAAGCAACTTCTTTGTGGCTGTTCCACCATTTTTAACCAGGGTTGAACTGGTTTTAACGTTTGGTATATTATCTGTCACACAATACTCTCATATAATAGCTGACAAATGTAACATCTGCCAGGGGCCAAGAATAATCTTTCCCATTGTGAATCTGAAACTGCTCTCACACCCTCTTTTACTTTTTAACGATAAGAATTTTAATGAATTTCATATGTATAGACAAAAAAGTTCTTTTGATGTTTTCTGTCCTAAAGAGGAATTGAAAACACCATCATTTGAATCCTGCAGACTTTATACCTGTAGGCTCACAAATCAAGCCAAATCTTCAGAGCATCATTTCTGGTTTGTTGGAAATGTTTAAAAAATGTAATTAAATTGAAAGTTTAGTTTTTAGCATAGCTTAGTACAATCTGGGCCAACTTTTTTGGCAGGCATTCTACAAATTATGCCTGCACCCTTTCTGAATGCCACTTCAGTCCCCTTCCCCTGCCTAATCTTATGCTCTGCTTTCCGCTCCATGCCCTGTGCTCCTTGCCTCATCTGCTGCTCTGTTTTCTGCTTCCTGCCCTACCTGCTACTGTGTTGCTTCTTCTCTGCCTGATCTGCCACATGCCACACACAAGCTCTTGTACCACTTGTGGTACATGTGCCATAGATTAGCCACCTCTAGCTTAGCCTTCTCAGTGTGTAATCATTCTAGATATCACCATTAATAGTATGGTCTTCTATACTGGCAATTTCTCAACCCTAATTCACCACCATTACAGCTTTGCAGGGGATGGAAATGGCAGGAAAGAATGCAGATAGGACCTAAGTACTCTTAATGAGCGGCTGTTTGAATAGTGCTAGATGCATTCACTTTTTTTTCTACAGATTCTGTTCTTGCAGCTGTCAATGTAGTTCTGTCTTTGGTGATTTACACCTATAACAATATAAAATGTTCTTTGGCCTGTTCTGTTAGGTTCTGAGCCTGGGTTGGTGTCAGTTCATAGATTTTTAGGGTTAGAAGGGACCTCAGTAGATCACTGAGTCTGTCCCCCCTGCCCTGGGTAGGAAAGAGTGCTGGGGTCAGATGACATTAGCTACCTCAAAAGCAGTAGAGTTAAATCAGTTTCTGTTGGCCAAGGATTGGGACATTAGACTCGAGTCTAAGAGATGCTGAATGAAAGAGAAAGAAATTGATTAAAGTAGTATTTTAAATAGGAGGATCATAAGGTCAGAGAAAAATAGGGCTGAAGGGACCCAGTAGGTCAGCTAGTCCAGTGCCCTGCTCAGGGCAGAAATATCCCTAAATCATCACAATGAGGTGTTTGTTAACCACCCTCACAGTAAGAAAATTCTTCCTAATATCAAACCTAAATTTCCCTGATTGCAATTTGCTGCAACGTTTTCTTTTTCTTTTGATACAAGTATGTAGGAAATATGTGTAGATTTATATCTATACTGTTAGAAATAGTATTGGTAAAAATCCTATTATTAAAAGATTTAAAAAAAACCCAGAATGCATGGGGAATTAAAAATAGCAACATCCAGACCAGAATGTCTTCTCATTTGCAGTGTAAGTCAAGAGTATCTCCACTGAGAAAAGACCTGATTTTCTTTTCTCCTACCATACCGTTTTCTATTTGTGTCCACCATGAAATCACAAAGGTAAATTTATGACACTATCATCATTCTTGTGGCAGAAGATGGCAAGCACAAAGATAAAAGCAGGATCCATAAGAAGGTTAAACAAATTTGTAGGATGGTACACCAGTCAACACATACATATCTGTAAGAATTGCAATAAGAACATAGATCGTTACTGTGCAACTGAATTATTTTTGGACAAATTTTCTCATTCTTCATACTTGCCCCTGTGAAAGTCTTTCTTTAAATTCCTTTGTTTTTGTTGGCTTCTGTAACAGTTCCCAGTTTCCAAAAAAGATGTCCATGTTCTGGAAGTACAATACAGGGTTTTAAATTGGTCGCAAGCTGATGGGGATGGAACAATTTCAAAGCAACCCTGAAATTTCATTTCTGCCCAAACATGAGAATCACAGCTTGTACCCAGGGAGGTGGAATTAGTGCTAGTCAGAAGTCTCATTTTCACCCTCAGCTATGCAGCAGTTTAGCAATCTGGCAGCCAGATGGATGCTTGGTTACTATTAGGAGTGTTTACAGAGAGCTGGGCAACAGCTTTCTCCACTCCAAAGGTAGTGGAGAACAAACAAAAAGGCAAATAAAACCTGATGAGGGAAAACAACACAAACTCTGAGCTGTGAGCTTGTCAGGGATTGGGGGGAAGAGGATGTTGAGGAAAAACGTGATATGTATTGCCTGATTTTAAGGTGGGATTATGTATACATTTCCTTTGGATGTTAATCCATTCAGCAATCTCTATTGATTAGTTTGGAATTTTCCTCACCCTGGACTTTTTAAAATTCTGCTTGTCTTGTTCAACAACCTGCAAGTATCTCTGTCTAGTTGTGGAGACAGGAGTGCTGCCGCAAGACAAGACTGAAACTTGACTCAGTCATATGTAAGAAGTGTTCAACTGATTGACTAAATGTGAGATTTCAGTATTGTGCAAGGGCAGCTGCTTTGTGAAAGTAAGCCAATAAACTCCTCAGTGTTGTAAGAGGAAATGGCTTAGATCAGGGGTCAGCAACGTTTTTGTGTAGAGTGCCAAAAACATCCACAACCTTGACGTGTAAGATGTTGGCTAGCCAGGGAAAAATGGTAGGAGAGCCACGAGGGATCCGATACTTGCTGTGGCAATGCAGCTCTAGCCCCTTCCCTGCCATCCGCCCCAAGGTGCATGTGCCAAGCAAAAAGCCTTTGCATGCCACGCTCTAACACCATGCCAAAGTTTGCCTACCCCTGGCTTAAATCTTGGCCTGTGGTATGTCTGCTTTGCTTTAGTTCTGTGTGGCAAAATGGCTATTACCCCAGTTTACATGGCTAGCTGAGAATTCCTCTGGCCTGTCCTGAAGACCAGAGGCAAAGGACAGCTTGAAGGTAGCAGACAGCCACCTTTACTAACCTCAGGTTCATGTCAGAGTTGTGTTGGATGTGGATCTAATCCAGGGTGCACTTGGTACTGTTTTCTAGGCAATGCTTTTTAATAGGGGTGCACCGATAAAGAGAATTTTTAGGCCAATACAGATGGCTGATTTTTAACGAGCCAGATTGGCTGATACCGGTCTGAAAGCTGATATGTAGTCGGGCAGTTTGTAGAGCAGTGTCTGACTGGTACGTCTGTTGTGGGGGAAGAGGCAAGGGTGGAGGGAAGGGGTGTGAGGGGGCACAGATCAAGGCCCGGAGGTGAGGGAGGGAGTGGGGCTGAGGCAGGTGCTGCGCAGCCGGGGCGGAGCGTGGGATGGAGCTGCGAGTGGCTTGTCTGGAGGGAGTGGGAGGGCAGCTGCCACTGCTGCGTTCACTCCAGCCGATTGCTGATACAGTCTGTTTTCCTTATATTGGTGCTGATCCAATATGGGACCAATGTATCGGTGCATCTCTACTTTTTAAGGCTAAGCCCTTAAATATCGCATCATGTTTGAGCAGAGTATTGTTTTTAAATTCATTCTCCACCTTTCACCTAAATCAGTTTACTGCATCAAAAGATTACTTCTCTGGCTGAATATCTTCAGTAGGTCTAAAAACATCAGAAACTCCATTCTTAAGGGACTACCACTGGGGATTATTTTATGCATTTTAAGAAATAAATTTTAATCTCAATACAGAGAATAACTTGAAATGAGAAGTTCCAGCAGATGTGTTTTGTATTCTGAAAAGAATTGGCCAGGAATGTAAAGCACCCTAATCAGGCTTTTATATAAAAAAATGCACAATCTTGTTTGTTTCAAAGGAATTAACAGATGTTTAAGGAAGTTACAGACATGGATTCCAGTTAGCTTCTCTGTTCATAAGAGGTCTTCCTAGTAGTAAATATATCAGTCTGTTGCTTTCACTAATTATTTCAGAAATAACAGCACAAAATACTTTTTTCTGGTTCAAACAACAACTATTCTTTTTACCTTCTGTGGAATGACTTGATATGTATAAATTATATGATGCGTATGGGAACTCTGTTATCTGAGGCCAGTTTGTCAGTCATGCTAATATTCAGCACGTCTGAAAGTTCAGACATTGGTTACATTAAAGGTGTAGAAAGGGTGCTGTAGGCCTGGAGCTTAATCTAGGGCAAGGCTGTCCAATTTCTAAGTAGCCAGTAGCTTCAGACCGTGCTCCCAGGCACCCCTTCCTCACTACACCAGGTGTGCCCAGGCACCCCACATGCTGCAGGGCATCCCACCTCACCTGAAGCTCCCCAGCTGTAGGCTCCCAGCTTCATCACATCTTTTGGGTACCCTAGACCGCAGACTTCCCCAGGGCTGTAGTCTGCATTGAGCAGCACTGTCCTGCCCTGCTCTGCAGTCAAAGCAATGGAGGAAGCAGTGGTCAGGTAAGAGCCTGGAGCCCTCTATTTAATCCCTTGCAAGCCACAAGTTTGACAGCTTTGATCTAGGGTATCAACCATGGGCATGTAATTATACCTGTATTCAGAATTTGTCATCTGCTTTAAATAGTGCTATCCATACAGTCCAAAGGCAGACTCTAGACAATTGCCTGATTATTTTTCATTTGATTTTCATTGCATCAGGTTGTTGGTGTGGCTCAAGCTATTAATAAGAAATCTGGAATTGGTGGCACGTTCACAGAGCAAGATGAAAAGGTATTTATTATAGGTGGACTCTGTGTGTGTGTGTGTGTGTGTGTGTGTGTGTGTGTGTGTGTGTGTGTGTGTGTGTGTGTGTGTGTGTGTGTGTGCGAGCGTGCGCGTGTGTTCATTCCATGAGCAATAGATTTCTTTTATGGCAGCAAGAAACCTTGAAATTACCAAACTTATACTAATCTTTGAACAAGTAAAAATTATTGGCAAATTATTTTTTTTATCTTTCTGAGGTTTTCAGAAATGAGGGTGCAAATTAGTTTACTTTGGGGTCAGGTTTCTTTCCTCCTCCATTATTTACTGAATGTATTGTTAAACAATCCAGGTTCAACAGCTTACAGCAGTGGTCACCTTCTGTGAAAAGAATCTCGCAATGGGCACTACAAATATCAGATTATCATTAAAGCTGCCAAGCAACTTTTAAAATAATTGCATAACTTAATTTCTGTATACACTATTTGCAAAAAAAGAAATGAGGCATTGGAGAAATTATAGTCAAAGCACATCTTTTATAATCAGCAGTGCAGAAAGCATCTTGATTCTGAACTCTCATTTGTGGTGTGTTTTTTTTTTTTGTTTTTTTTTCCTCAAGTGTATTGAGACTTCATATGCAGGCTGTGATGCACCAAGAAGGGTTGAATTCAGGCCGAAGGAGTTGACTTAAACTTTGGCAATAACAAAGTCAGAATTCACTCTCTTCCCTTTCAAATGGAATGCATAATGAACATCTGCAGGACATCAGAATTAATCCCTTGCTGAAAAGGAAAGCATTCATAGCTTTGCTAACCCACGTTTTAAAGATTTAATTCCTTCTTGTAATAAATTCGCATCATCTTCATTTGATTTTTCTTTTTATGGGTGAAATTACGTTCACATGTATTAAGAAGTTTTAGATAACCACCTCCTTCTGATAAAGCTGTACCTAGATAAACAGGAATATCAGCAGTTTGTTTTGAAATTGGAAAGGAGATTCCTGATGAGATAGCAATCACAAATGAAGACCAACCAAAGAAAACATTTGTGTGATTTGCCAAAATCAACCTTAAACATGAAGCATTATCACAAAATTATACTGCTGGAGTTCTGACCATAACAGATGGGTGGGCTTTTTGTTAAAAGATATAAACGCTCATATTTCTATTTGGTTGAAATCCTGGAGAGAAAAATAGCATAACCATTCTTGTTCTTCTGTAAATACCTTTTGTCTTAATATGCTGTGAAACTATTTTAGGTCTGTGCCTTCATCTCACCTAAGACTGAGATGCTAGCAAGATATTGGAAAAAATGTATTAAAAATGTGCTGGTGGAAGTTAAATGTCATCTTAATTAATCTTGGTATCTCATTGCTTTTCAGGATTTTGCTGCTTATCTAACATTTTGTGGAATTGTTCTTCACAATGCCCAGCTGTATGAGACTTCATTGCTTGAAAATAGGCGTAACCAGGTATGACCACCAGATTTATTAAGGGACATGGGGATTTTTATAGTAAGGTAATATTTAGATCCTGTTATGTACAGCTTATGCTTTTTCCTATATGGTGGACACTCCTTGTCTGTTTTTAATTTGTTTCTTTCTTGGGGAAACCATATGATAAAGGTTTGTAGAAAGAAATAGGTGGAAACTATTTCAAAATTTTCTGGTAGGGTAGAATTTCAAAGTTGCTGCTAGAGTGTTCAGAAAAAAGCTTTTGGGTCAGATTTGCAGACCTAGTTCCAAAATCCTTAGACACACTAAGTGATAATCCAGGCACAGTTAACCAGATGAGAATTCCCTCGGCAGAAGTTACAGCTGTACACTATAACAATATGGTGTCACAAAGGAAGTAAGATTTTTTACAGATCTGTTAGTCATAGTAGATGACAACTGTATTCAGAAGTAATTTCTACGTCACATAAAACTTAAATCTATTTTTCACTGCTGTGAAAGCTAAAATGCGCACACGTGCATGTATACACATACTGACAAATATGGAAAAGACATATGCATAACTAATATTGTCTATCTGTGAGGGGAGAAAAATGTTGTTGTAAAGTGAAAATACTTTCCAAGATTTGGGCTTATTTGGAAAAGCAGAATGCTAAATGCCATTCTGGGCCTAAACATGTCTTTCTGGTTTAAGACATTGTGCAGCTACATACACTTCCTAATTTCATTAGGAGTCTTCACACTGAATGCTGTTCGTGATACAGGTTCTTGATCTGCTCTCTGTCTGATAATCAAAATTTAATTTTGGTCATAGGAATGCATTTTAATTTATCAGACAGGGGAGAGAGCCAGGAGGACAATTAGTATAACTATTGCTTAACTTACTCTCTGTGAAAATTCAAAAAGCTGTTTTTGGTGGGGGGGTTTCCTTCCAGGTACTTCTCGATCTTGCTAGTTTGATTTTTGAAGAGCAGCAATCCTTGGAAGTAATTCTGAAGAAGATTGCTGCAACTATAATCTCCTTCATGCAGGTGCAGAGATGCACCATTTTCATAGTGGATGAAGATTGCCCTGTGAGTGTGCTTCATTTTAACCTGTAAATCCTATGAACCAAGCCCTTCACTTTTCTGTATTCTGTTATAGCTGCAGCAAGTACAAGGAACTGGCATATGAGGCCTGCTTTATAAAATAAGAGGCTGGACAGGAAATGCACTAATTTTTCACTGTCCTCTTTAATTCACTCCTGCTCCCGTTCCCATGCCTACTCATCCTTTGCTTGCAGACTTGCTGACCCTAAATCAGACTCTCTGTGATTTGATACAGCCAATTTGCATAGAAGGCTCATAATCTGTCAGCATGATTCTACCAGGAGGATCATTTTAACCTAAATGTGGCACTGTTCTGGCATAGGCCTGATACACAAGGGCTGATAATACAAGGTAACAGAGAAAAGAGGAGAAACTGGGGGAAAAAAAAATGTTACAGCAGGGTCAGGGCCTACTGAGCTAAATCAGCCACGAGGCATTGGCACCTGGCATGTTTACACCAGGGTAGAAAAGAAGTGGATACATGGTGTATATCCCTCCACTAGTGTAAATTATTAGAATTCGACTCTTTTTCAACCTGGAGAGATGTGGGCAGTGGGGCCCCCCAGGGCTTGGTCCTCGGGCCTGCACTGTTCAACATCTTCATCAGTGACTTGGCCAAGGGGGTGAAAAGTACCTTGTTCAAATTCATGGATGACACTAAGATGTGGGGAGAAGTGGGCACGCTGGAGGAGAGGGACAGGCTGCAACTAGATCTGGACAGGTTAAAGGGGTGGGCAGATGAAAACAGGATGGGGTTCAATACTGACTAAGTGCAAGGTATTGTACCAGGGGAGGAAGAACTAGCAGTATACCTACAGGCTGGGGAACTCCCTTCTCATCAGCACAGAGGCAGAAAAAGATCTTGGAGTCATTAGTGATTCCAAAATGAACATGGGCCGCCAGTGTGGGGACGCTGTCAGGAAGGCTAACCACACTTTGTCATGCGTCCACAGAAGCATCATGAGCAGGTCCAAGGAGATGATCCTCCCCCTCTATGCGACACTGGTCAGCCCACAGTTGGAGTACTGCATCCAGTTCTGGGGACTGCACTTCAGGAGGGATGTAGCCAGTGTTGAGAGAGTCCAGAGGCCACTCGCATGATCAGGGGACAGCAAGGCAGGCCCTACGAGCAGAGGCTATGGGACCTGAACCTGTTCAGTCGCCACAAGAGAAGGCTGAGAGGGGAACTGGTGGCCATCTACAAACTGGCCAAGGTGGACCAGCAGGCAATGGGAGAGTCTCTGTTCCCCTGAGCACTACCAGGAGTAACAAGGAATAATGGCCATAAGTTGACTGAGGGTAGATTCAGGCTAGACATCAGGAGGCACTACTTCACAGTCAGGGCGGCTACAATCTGGAACCAACTTCCAAGGGAAGTGGTGCTCGCTCCTACCCTGGGGGTCTTTAAGAGGAGGCTAGATATTCACCTAGCCGGGATCATTTGACCCCAGTATTCTTTCCTGCCCATGGCAGGGGGTCAGACTTGATGATCTGCTCTGGTCCCTTCCGACCTTACCAACTATGAAACTATGAGAATGTGGTGTAATTATTTCAGGAAAAGGAAACAGCACCAGTAGAAGTTACAACACACCAGTACAAACTGAGTTATGGTGAGGTAAGTATTATATATCTACAGTTATTCCAGGGTAACCATTTGTTCAAAGTAATCGGTTATTAATTGGTCTCTTGCTGCTACCCTGTGGTGAGGCACTGTACTAGTGACTACTGCAGCTACTTCAACATTACTATTTGTCCCAGATCTTGGTGCATTTATATCAATGTATAAAACTGATGCACATTACCTCAGTATTAACATAGCCTCATGGTTGCCTTCAGTCTAAAGTAAGTTAAATAATCCCTCACGTACATCATAGAAAGAACAGGTCTGCACAGCCGCACCAGGAGCACAAGAGTACAGAAGAGATATTTATGTCCTCGTTGCATGCTTGCTCACTTGCTCTATAACTTAATGCTTTATGCAATACATCCAAAGCCTGCAATCAGTGGCTTCTCTGTCTCAATGTTCTCATCTGTAAGATGCAGATGATGATGATGATGTGTTGCTTCATGGTGGCGTCTGGGGCTAAATTTCTTAGCATTTACAAGGTGCTGAAATACTGTCATGATAAGGAGCCACATCTTTTCAATACATTTAAAAAGATGCAATGGGCTTAGTGGCATGATGCTCCTGGACTGTTTGCATGTCTGCACAGTATGCACTCTGTCTGCGATGTGGTGAATGTTGAGAGAGATTGTACTAACATTAAGCTTTGGAGTTGCTTTGTAAACATGTCTTTGCTCACTGTGGGGCGGAGAAACTTTGCTGAGGTGCAAGAAGCTTCAGTGATGTAAAGTGACTATATTTCTTTGCTTGGAGCCAGACATGTTGGTGTGGGGTGTTAAATGCAATGAAATTTGCCTCAAGGCACACACAAATCACTGCAGTTTATTTTCCCTTTATTACTGCCGTCACTGTTAATTATGATTTTTATTACCCACAATCTTGATATATTTCTTTGCAGTAAGAATCTCTTTTGCCTTTCCAGGATTCCTTTTCTAGTGTGTTTCACATGGAGTCTGAGGAATTGGAAGATTCAGCTGATGTCCTAAAGAGGTGAAACTTGCTCTGAATTTCAGTTCATCATAGGCCAATGAAAATGTCTATGCTTGCAATCATTTTTCATAACAAACAACTTTCATGTTATGCAAACAGACAGCATTTTAGTCTTATCTCTCTTGTGGTTTAAGGTTTTCCTTGAGATGCACACATCCAACTTTCTCTGGCTTCAGTAGAGTCACCCAGCTATATCAGAGGTCAGAATAGGGCCTGCTTTTTAAATCTTTCTTCATTTTCTATGCAATGTTTTTTGAAGTTAAATACACATGGGGAAAAATGGTTAGCTCTGTAGCTCCATCTTACACATTTGTCATTAATTATCTTCCCTTTATTTTTTAAGATAACTGTATTAGATTTTGGTATCACAAACAAGTTTAACATCATAAGAGCCCTTCTTCCGGAGAAAGACAAATTGAGGCACAACTCTTCATGGTCACATGGATAGCTGAATAGCTGTGACCCCTGTGTCATTCCCCTCCCACCCCCAACCCAGCCCAAGCACAGAATGAAACGAGATACAGTGCATTTTTTCAGCCTTCCCTCTGTGGATGTGGAAGGGAAGGGAACCCAGAAGAGTATACTTGACTGTTTTGTAATACCCTTCTTCAGAAGGGCTTTGGTAAGGAGGTAAGAAGCAGCAGTATGCTAGCCAAACTGTATTGCATGATGGGCTGCATCCTCCTGCACACATCTCCTGTCATGCTCCAGTTACACAATCATAACAGAAATATTGCCAACCAGCAACTTCAAAGAATGCCCTTCTAGTTTACATTTCAAGTAGGGCAGGTTTTGAGCCCTACTTAAAACTCAAAGATTTGGCAGCATAGTTTTAAAAGATGAATATAATCTAACCAAGTAAATTGGAAGATTACAGCTAATACCTCCCATAAACAGGATTATTTTCATAGATTTTCAGCCCTAGAAAAAGTCTTTACAACATTGCAATCATGGTTGCTTCGATTGCAGTATTGATTCAGTGACACTTCACCGTGAGTTTTTGTCAGTTAGGAATAAATCAATATCTAGGAGTTCTGGTTGAGTCTTGAGTTCTATATCAGTATAATTTAAGTAGTAGTAGCATCTAAAGACCATGGTAAGAATTAGTGTTAAGCATTGTACATAAATGTAGTAAGGCTCTGAATGAGTAAGTGCTCACTTAAGGGAGCGCAGTAAATAGTAACCGTAATTAGTAACAGTGCTACGCATTCAGACAATTTATGGTGCCACAGTGGCAAAGCAACCACAAAGATATTGCACAAAATATGTGAAAGATCCTTTGGCTTATTTGTATGGCACGATAAATTGAATGTGTAGCACATTCAATTTATGGGGGGACAGGGGTTAGCAACAGGAGTGGGACAGCCCTGGTTCTGATGCTGAAAATTGGCTGCTGGGACAGCAGGTTGCTAAATTCTCTGTGGGGGGAGCCTAAGGGCTCTAGCTGCTGGAAACCTGGGAACTCCTGAGACAAGCATCCTTTCCTTCCTAGTCTGCAGTCCTTGCACTTCAAAGGCAGAGGCACTTTAACATGCCAGGCTGTAGGTAGAACCCATTATTTTTAGATGGCAAGAAGGGGTGGGGAGAGGCTTATAAAAGACACATATTCAGCTGGGCTGTCCCCGGGGTTGGGCTGACAATCAGCTGACTGTCAGACCTGGCCCTGGGAGCCCCAGGTATCAGACCAACCCAGCCAAGACTGTGAGGACCTGTCTGACAATTAGCTAGTTGTCAGCCCCAGTCTCAACAGCCCCAGATCTGGAACCAAATGGAGCAGCCCTGGGCCTGGAGCATCTCTATGATTGGGCTGGGGATAGCTCAGTAGTGGTAGGATTGGGATTGGAGGAATTTTATGGGCCATCCCAAACATCACACTTCCTGCTATGTATATCTACCATGGCAGTGATGCAATTATTTTAACATCTGCCAGGGGCCTACATGTCAAATAATTATCATCCTAAAGTTTGGGGACTCATGTATTTGTAATTCTTTACATTTACTATTCAATACATAACGAATCCATTTCCTAGGGCTAAAGGATCTCAACAAACTTCTCACATTTCAGAAACATTTCCCTTTAAGCAACCGGGGCCATGAGCCCCATATTAAGTGAAGCAGCGTAATAATGATTAGCTAAATTTCTTGCTTAAGCACCTAACCTTCAACCCAGGTCAATACTGGATTTTTAAAGTAGTGCTTTTTATTTGAACTCCTCTATATGGAGTATTCTCTCCAGCAAGAGAGATCATATGTTGCTGAACTTTTTAGTCCAATGTTTTCTGTGGCAGGGCATTTGGTGTTCCTGCCACTTTAAGAGGTCAGGCAGTCTGCAGGGTCACTGGCAGGTGGGATCAGGCCTAATTAGAAAGTCAGCTGACCTGGGGGCTGGCAGGTGCAGCTTGGCCTGATCAAGGGTGTCACCTGACTGCATGGGCAATGCCTGATTGGAGCAGGGCTGGGCTTTCACAGATGGGTCACAAATTGGCTAGAGGGCCGCACAGAGAGTGGTGGTGGACAGGTCGTTTTCGACCTGGAGGAATGTGAGCAGTGGGGTCCCCCAGGGCTCGGTCCTCGGGCCCACACTGTTCAACATCTTTATCAGTGACTTGGACGAGGGGGTGAAAAGCAGCTTGTTAAATTCACAGATGACACTAAAATGTGGGGACAGGTGGGCACACTAGAAGGGAGGGACAGGCTACATCTAGATCTGGACAGGTTACAGGGGCGGGCAGATGAGATTAGGATGGGATTCAATACTGACAAGTACAAGGTATTGCACCTAGGGAAAAAGAACCAGCAGCATACCTACAGGGTGGGGAACTCCCTTCTCGTCAGTGCAGAGGCAGAAAAAGATCTTGGAGTCGTTATTTATTGTAAGATGAACATGGGCCACCAATGTGAGGACGCGGTCAGTAAGGCTAACCGCACCTTGTCATGCAGCCACAGATGCATCACGAGCAGGTCCATGGAGGTGATCCTCCCCTTCTATGTGACACTGGTCAGGCCGCAGTTGGAGTACTGTGTCCAGTTCTGGGGGCCGCATTCAGGAGGGATGTGGCCAGCATCAAGAGGGCTACTCGCATGATCAGGGGGCAACAGGGCAGGCCCTACAAGGAGCAGTTACAGGACCTGATCCTGTTCAGCCTCCACAAGAGAAAGCTGAGAGGAGATCTGGTGACCATCTATAAACTTACCAGGGGGGAATGGGAGAGTCCCTGTTCCCCTGAGCGCTACCAGGAGTAACGGCCATAAGTTGACTGAGAGTAGGTTCAGGCTGGACATCAGGAAGCACTACTTCACACTCAGGGTGGCTAGGAGCTGTAATAGACTTCCAAGGGAAGTGGTTCTCGCTCCTACCTTGAGGGTCTTCAAAAGGAGGCTAGATAATCACCTGGCTGGGATCATTTGACCCCAGCATTCATCACTGCCCATGGCAGGGGGTCAGACTTGATGATCTACTCAGGTCCCTTCCGACCCTATCAGCTATGAAACTGAAAATGAAAATGAGCTATGAAAATGAGTAGAAATTACTGCTTTCTTTTCTTAACACCCCACCTTCCTTGCTGCTGGCTCCACTCTCTAGTTTTGTGCCTATCCTTGCATATGTGCCTTTAAAGCTGAAAAATAATTGAAGCCTAGTCACGTAGCAGAAGGGTAGAATGCGGAAGCCCGATGAGAATGGGCGTACAGAAGGAGGTGGGCCCTCTTCCAAAGAAGGCAAAGAGGGTCATTAGAATTAAAGTGTCTTATTTAAATACATAAGAGTATGCAATTAAGATAGAACTGGTTGATTTGTAAAGTTATTTTAAGCCCTTATGTGGGGAAAGCAGATGGTCTGTGTCAATAACAGAATCACTATGCAATCAATTGTGCATTCACTCTGAGAGCGCATTTTATATGAACTTAGAAGCAGAAAATTTACAAATGTTACCATCTGCTCTTGGTTTAAAATATGTGGATATCATCTATTACTAATATACAGTGTTGTCAGCTATCTACAGATGTATATTATTTAAGGGTTCTATTTATGTAACTTAAGGTGTCATTCATTTTCTGACCTTCATTCTATTAAACTGTACTTGATTCATTTACTAAGTGTGGTAATCTATTTCTAAAATATCTAACTGTCCTAACATTTAAGAATGTACATACAACTCAAGACTGGAGCTTGTCTATATGACAGAGATTTTTTTAAATGAATTTAATTAAATTGGTGCAAGCCACTTTAGACCCTTCAGTTTCAGTTTAAATTAGGCTTATTTACTGAATAAATGAGAAGCAGGTTTCAGCTAAACTAAAATGTTCACGCAGGGCGCATCTATATGAGGAACTGCATATTTGCCTAATAACACTGTACAATAGCGTGTCATGGCAGAAACTGTGCTAATAGCATACTGTGCGGTGTAATTAAGCTTATGTGCAGTAAATGTCACTAAATAACAGTGCACCAGCGCTTCTGCGCACTTGCTCAGTAACTTTAGGTACTGTGCATTTAGTTAGTGCTTTATTAAGTACTAAACTAAATGTGCTGTATCTAAGGCGCATTAATGAGTGTGTAGATGTGCCCACAGGGAGTGAAACCCAATTCAAATGAAAGGGAAACACAAATAGAGCTTGTATTGATTTTCTTAGGTATATCTTGAACAAAGAAAGAGCTAAATAAATTCATGTATATCTTGTGTATTTCCTCATATTTAATGAAACAAAATAAACATGCCTCAAAGTTGAGGATTATAATGCACTCAGAATATTATGAATTATTTGTTCTTCTGTAGTGGCAAGTGTATCATCTAGGATGTTTGAACACTATAATCTCCCTTAATTTAATTTAAATGAGATGTGAATATAAAAATTTCAGCTGTTCTGGTCAAATAGCTGTAGAGTGCTATTCTATATTTTCATTGACAACATAGGTCACAGAGTAGACGAGCACAGCCCACAACTTTGTGGTGGGTCAGAGACGACGCTTGGATCAGAGTGTGGGAATTGGGCTTAACTCTGCTTTTCCTTTTGATTTATACACGATAGTTTATGTTAGCATTATGATGTGCCTGGTCTCCTACAAAGATTGCAATAAATAATATCTGTCTATCTTTGGTACTCCATCAGAGACTACGATGCAAACAAAATCAATTATATGTATGCTCAGTATGTCAAGAATACAATGGAACCTCTTAATATACCAGATGTCTGCAAAGACAGAAGATTTCCATGGACGGTAAGGAAATTGAAATGAAGTTCGGGATTTAGTAGTAAAAGACATAGGTGATCTTTGTTTGCCTTCCTTCTATGACCAGATCTTGTGTTTGCTACCATTATTACCACTAGCTTTATTTAGCTTATTGACTGCCGGCAGTCGGAACTGTTTAGACATAGAAGGAGACACAGTTTCTGCTTTAAGAAGTTTTACATTCTCTAAAGCTAAACAATACTGTTTTAACACACAGTGGGCAGGGTGTCCAGTAGATGAATTTATCACAAAGAAGGTCAGTTATTTCTCCATGAAAGCAGGTTGCTATGCTGGGAGAAAGAAGTATGTTCTTAGGAAAGCATTTGAAGTGAAGGGAGAGGATGGAAGTTTTTCACACCAGTCCTCTACAGTTTACTTTGAGACTTGGGAATGGTCTCAGAGGTCCCGCCCACCCTCCGGATGTGTATCATAGATGTGGGCTGTTTACTGATCTGGAGAGTGTCAGCAACTCTTGATCAGTATTAGCTTGTGATATGTTGTTCCAGTGACCATGTAGAGAGAGACTGGAGAGTTAAGAAGGAAGGAACAAAAAGGCGAAAGCAGATTGGTATTGGAACAGATAAATAAGAACTCTGATACCTTAGAGTCCCTGTAGGCAAAAAACAACACTGCAGCTCTGTTGTTTATTCCAAGAACAGTGCCGAAAAAGCTGTTTGCTGTTCTTTTATTTCCTTTTAGATGAAGACCAGGTTGATTTATACATTTGGGCCAGGGAGAGAATAGTATAGGGATGAGGGTGTTGGCATCAGGGCTTCCTCCACACATTCTTCCCTCTGCAGTCAAGCAGCAGAAAAATCAGGAGGTACAGTGTCCAGCAAGATGGTTCCAGTAAAATGATAGCAGGAGCTGACAGCAGCCTGTTCAGTGCTTCCCATTTTAATTGTTTACAGTTTCACTGTAGTTTTGGAACAGAAGCCAGTAGGGGTCTGAGCATTTTCAGCTCCACACGTTAATAGGAGTTGAGAGTGCTCAGCAGTTTGAGAGATGTAGAGTCTATCCTGCCAAGTATCCCCATTTTACTTCTTGGTATTGGGAGAAAAACAAATGGATGCACTAGGTCAGGAGCTAAAGAAAAAGGTGAATATTCAAAAGGAGTTTTAAAGTACCTGAAATAAATACATTAGGAGCAGTTTCAAATGAGTGTTTGTCTGGGACAAGCTCTTTGCCTTGGCAGCAGACTTCAGATCTTCTGCTCATGCAGAAATGCATTGATCTTTGGGCTCTGGATGATTTCTTTTATGCCTGAGGGGAAAATGTTACCAGGCATTGACTTCTGGCTATATGCACACAAGGCTCATAAAGATGATGCAGTGCAGCTGTGGATAGGGAATAAGGACTGATCTACTTTAGCAAAACGACAAAGGGCTCATCTATACCACTGCTGCTGTGGGTCCTGGATAGGACAGGGATGTGTACACTTTCTATTCAAGTCCACATGCATGCTCCAGACCTGAAGGTTCACTACCAAAACTGCCCTGAACTTGCCCCTAACCCCTACTTTTGAGCCATCAGTCTCCTGAAGGCCTGAGAGGTGATGGCTGAAGATGAAACCAGAACTGCTTTGCTTTATATTCAGCATAATCTCTTGAAAGTTTTCTACAAAGAGAAACACTTACTATCATTCATTATAGAAAAAATGTTCTTTCATTTGTTTAATATCCTGTTCCTGTGCCTGAGAAAAGTTAATCAAAGCACAAGCATCAAAGACACATCTATTTTTCTTTTCCTTGGATGGAATCAGACAGAGATGCATTTTGCTTTCAGTTACACCCATGTGACCCAGGCAATAGATGTAACACTGCAAAATGATAGCCATTTTCTTTTATTACCATGGATTTGAGAAAAATACTCTCTTTTTCAAACAATGTTATTGTTCTTATACAGGTGGTTACTATAAACTGATTGCAAAACATGTGAATTGGTATTTTCAGGAACTGTACGATGCTATTGTTATGCAACTGGTCACTCCTTGGCCCTTGACTTCACCTCCTTCTAAGGTCAGCTTGCATCACTAAGACAGCCCTGAAGGAGTTCCTGCAAGTTGTCCCGGGACAGAGTGTAGCCATTTTAGTTTTATACCATGGATCTAGCCTGTGGAGTTCCCCACGGGGTCTGACGATATGTTAGTGGGGGAACACTGGCAACTAATTGCCAGTCCCTTGCTATCAAATTTCTGGATGCCAGGAAAACCCCAGAGGCCCAAGAACATGGCACTACACACTGGATTGAGTGTGCAGGGCCAATAGGGTGGTGCAGGGTCAAGTGGGGCAGAATGGGCCCGAGCACAGCCAAGTGGCATGGAGCCCGATCTGAATCTGTGGGGCCTGATCTGACCCATGGACTGGTCCCAAGCCACTTATCTGACCTACAGGGCTAAAAGATTAAGCACGACTGCTTCATAGCATTCAAACAGTCCCTGTGGAATGAGAGAAGGCTTGATCCTTAGAAACCCCCATGGCTAGTGGAAAGGAAAGAAATCCTGAAGCCTCACCAGTTTTCCTCAGCTGCTCCAATTGAAATGCTGACTCAAGGGCACTGTTCATTTTCATGAGCCTGATACATTTTAACAAAAAGAAAAGAAACCCCATAGCATAAACAAGTGGGTACAAGTAAGTGTATGTTTACGTTGAGACATTTTTAGTATTAGTCTGGAATTTATTCCCATAGGTTGCTTTCAGGGTCCAAATCTACTGCCGGTGCTGAACAAACAGATCTGAAGACATGATTCCTCCCTCAAAGTATCTACAATTGAAGAATTGCAGTTTATAATATCATTCTGGCCTGATAGTTATGGCTACTATATAGGGCTCTGCCGATTTGTAACACTGTTTTTTAATTGTTTAACAGAATGAAAATGCAGAAAATATAAACCAGCACGTAAAGAGTTTGCTGTGTACACCAATAAAAAATGGGAAGAAGAATAAAGTGATAGGTATTATCAATTTGATTTTTTTTTTTTACATTTCTGCTTATGTACTGCATGCCCATTAGTTCAATATGTTTTTATTATGACATTTTAACTTCCGTCTTTGCATGGGATAAAATGCATCTATAATATGTTACAAGTATGTGACTTCATAATATAGTTTTGCATTCATCTGTGTAATTGCTATAAAGAAGTACTTCTATACACCAGTGGTTTTCAACCTTTTTACAGCCCTTGTTAGGCTCAAGGCACCCATCAGAAAATGCCAACTCTTAGTTTTCACTTGTTTCTTGACTACAGAAAAATGCTAGAGTTATTCTTCTGTTGCAGAGAACTCGGGACAGCCACAGCTAGTCACATTTTTGGATACTATGGATTTGTATTTGATATCTCTGGGTTAATCTTGTGAATCATGTCTGGTGTTTTTAAACCACACATGTGGTACCCTGCATCACCCTTAAAAGGATCTCACAAAACCGTAAGGTGTCACAGCACACTCCATGAGAATCAGTGTTTTACACAGAAGTAATATCCTAGTAATATGGGAAGTAAAATCCTGGGAGAAGATCCTTAAAACAGAGAAATAGTTTTTTAGCTTTCACGTAACGCATACTGTCATACTCCTGTCTGTGATTTTTGTACCTACTACCATTACCAAGTAATGACAACACCTCAAATTATCTTTCTGTGCTTTTTCAGTTTGTTCAGTGGGTGCATTTCACAGTGCTTTGTGAATTGTTTTCTTTTCTTCTGTTGTAGATATTAGAATCCCTGTTGTTTGTGCATCTTTCATATGGCAATGGAAAGGAAAGACTGTTTTTGAAAATAGGAAAGTGCAATTACAAAGATTGCTGATTACAAAGATCCTCTGTCAGGGATTGCTTTCAATTGTTTTCACCTCTTTTTTCATATTTAATTGTCCAGATTTCAGGTTAATTGCAGATTCTTTCAATATTCATCTGTGAAATTCAAGATTTCACTGATTTTCCAGAGACTGTGAAATCTGGCACTGCCCGTGAGATCCAGGCAATGCCTGTGAAATCCATGGGGGGTAAAAAACTTACAGAAAAGAAAATGTTGGTTCCTCAGAGGGAGCCAGCAACATTAGCATGGTGTGGCAGCCCAGCAGGGTACAGAACAGGAGGAAGGAGCTGTCTGCTCAGAGTTGACGGTTAGGGGTGGGGGCTACATGACTAATAGCTCTTGCAACCAGTCAGTGGCAACGGGTGGGGCCATATGATAGGCAGCACCTGTAGCCAATCAGTGGTGAAGGGTGGGGCCATAGGAGCCCCTTGGCCAATCAGAGGCATAAAGTGACTGCCTGAGCCAACGTTTTGCCCACAAAACTAGGGGGCAGTCCCCGCAAATTAAGTAGGTCCTTACCTATGACTTAAGTAATGATGTTTGTTAATGAGCTAGTGGTTAATCATCTATGGGATGGATTCCATGCTCCTATTCAGTCCCTTTTTGTCACTCTGTAGATCCTACCTACTGGATGGGAAATCCCTGCTAGTCTAAGTGAGCCAGCATGAACCCTGCACCAGTCCATTTACCACTGTTCCTCTGTCACTGGGGAGTGTCTGAGAGAAGGAGTGTGCATAAGGAGCTGCACTCTGCATATGCTCCACACCCCACTCCCACAACACCAAACAGAGCTCAGGCGCTGGAGTGAATCAAGCTTTGTAGATCAAGCATGAATTTATGAAAAGGCCTTACTTAGGGAAGTTCCCCTTGAGTTCACTGAGAGTCCAAATTAACCTCAGTGCTTGCATAATGGCCAGCCAAAACTAAGCAAGGACCTTATGGTTTTTTCCTATAGATATCACACACATGTATGTGTTTGCAAACTTTTTGGACATAAATTTATTTTAACAGATGCTAGCTCAAGTTGGAACCAAGTGGGGAGCCTTGCCTTCACCTCAGAAGAGTAACACCTCCAAAAATATAACATGCAGTGCATATGGAGTTGAAAGGAGCTTGGAAGCCATTAGACTGTTTGCTCCATAAAGTATTCAAGAGTCTGAGGAAAAAATGAGACTCAAGGTAGCACTTCTAAGAGGTGCAGCATAGAACTAACAGTGTAGGGGAGTAGGGGACTGTAATGATTCGAGCTACCCTTATGTCCTAATTTCGCACTGTAACGGGAGCTTGGAGACTTATGTAAGTTGTGACTGCCTCCTTGGGCTGCCTATAAACTATATGCTATATGCTGTAGTCTTAGCGCTGGCTTTTGTGGATCTGCATCTAATTATCTTTAAAGATCTGGGCCCCTGGAGTGTAAGCCCTGCTGATTTATACTAAACATAGAGTGTAATTGCAGTGTGTTGGAGCAGACTCAATTTAATCGAGTCTGCTGGAACATAGTAATTACTGTGCTCCAGCATACTCCAGGGTCACGTGTATCAGCATCCCTGCGCTGAAAAATGGTGGTGGGGTGCTTTAAACTAAAGTTGGTTTGATGAGTTTTAGTTCTAAGTGCCCCATTGCTATTTTTCAGCATGGTGACACTGATACACATGATGCTCCAGATGTTTTAATTCATGTGGCTCTCAGACCTGCGCTAATTAAAGCACCCCAGCCTCCCAGAGCATGTCTATAAACACTAAGTTCCTAGATGTCTGCGCCACTTTTGAAAATGGGTGCAAAGCCCAGATGCACAAAGGTAGTTAGGTACCTAACTCCTGTTGATTTTAATGGGAATAAGGTGACTAATGGGAGGTAGGTGCCAAAATATCTTTGGAATCTGGCCCTTCAGCTCCTCAGTTTCTTTCTGTGCTTTTGTACCTCAGGGGTGTTGATTTTTAGGACCTCCCTCCCCAAGGAATCATGGAGCCTATATACATGTGCATTCCCAACAGCACCCGGGTCCACAAGAATATATAAATGGAACTCACCAGTAGCTGTCATACAGCTTCCTTATCCTTTCACCTCTCAACCAAATTTTATGTAGTCCCATCCAAAAGAAGGATGCAAAAAACAGGAGTAGGACAGCAAATACATATAAGGGATGGCATTTAGAGAATGGAGATACATTAACTAATTCATGCCTCTCATATGAACCTAGGGGCCTCATTTTATGGAGACAGATTGTATTTAGCCACAAATACCATGCAACAGATAGAGTAGAATTAGATTACTTACCTAATTCTCAACAATTACCTTTGATATTAGTTTCTTAAACTGGATTGTGGGAAAACTACATGCTCTCTTATTTTAAGTAACCTACCAAAAAACAGAGCTGAGTTGGAGATTCAGATCATTAAAGCTTTAATTGGAGGCTTGTTGGTTTAGGAGTAAATTCATGCTCTCATATTAGTTTTTCTAATATTTTTGGTGGGAATTTATGATTAATGCATTGGTATTCTTAAGCAAGTTGTCCGTTTAGGTGGGTTTTTCTAAAGCTTCTGAAGGAGCAAAAGTCCTAATAATTCTCATTGAGACTTGCTCTTCCAAATGCAAATTTGGATCTGAAATATTGCAAGGATAAGTTGTCCCCTAACACTTTGCTCAGATAGCAAGCAGAAATCTTCATCTATACCTGCAGCAGTCTGCTTAGAGAACAGATATGGAGCCCTGGGAACGGAAGAGGAGGAACATGTTCCATTGGTGGAGGAAGACAGGCCAGGCCTCCCTAAGGTTGGCAAGATCAAGACCACTGCCACCAAGAAGAAGCAGCGGGTGGTAGTGGTTGGAGACTTTCCTTTGAGGGGGACAGAGGCACCCATCTGCTGGCCTAACTTGTTGTTTCAGGAGATCTGATGCTTGCTCCAAACCCAGATCCAAGATGTCACAGAAGGATTACTGAAACTCATCCAGCCCTCTGTAAGCTGCTCATCTATGTGGGCACCAGTGATACTGCCTGGGGAGACCCTGGGCAGATTAAAAGTGATTACAGGGATCTGGGTGCAAGGGTGAAAGGGAGAAGGTCTCAGATGATATTTTTCTTGATCTTTCTGGTCAAAGGAAAAGGGTCTGGGCAAGAGTGGATGCATCTTACAGATCAATGCATGTCTGCGCAGATGGTGTCACCAGAAGGACTTTGGTTTCTTTGACCATGGGATGTTGTTTGAAGAAGGAGGAAGAGATGGGATCCATGTGACTAAGAAAGGAAAGAGCATCTTTGCAGATAGGCTTGCTGGAAGAGGGCTATAAACTAGGTTTGCCAGGGGATGGAGACCAAAGCCCTGAGGTAAGTGGCAAAATGGGTGACCTGGAGGAAGCACGAACAGGAGGGGGCAATCAGACAGGCATTCTCATTCTTCTGGAGAAAGTAGGGCAATCAGTTACCTCAAGTGCCTGTACATGAATGCACAGAACCAGGGAAACAAGCAGGAAGAATTGGAAGTTCTCACAGTCATGGAATTATGACATGATTGGAATAACAGAGATAGCTTGCATTACTGGCGCACTGTCATGAATAGGTATAAACTGTTTAGGGAAGACAAGCAGGGGAGAAGAAGAGGAGTTGCACTTTATGTAGAAGTGCCATATGATTGCTCAGAGCTCCAGTATGAAATTGGAGATAGGCCTGTTGAAAGTCTCTGGGCTAGGGTCAGAGGAGAGAGCAACAAGGATGATGTTGTGGTGGGGTTCTGCTATAGACCACCAAACCAGGAGGTGAGGTGGATGAGGCTTTCTTCAAACAGCTAACAAGTTTCCTGATCACAGGCCCCAGTTCTCGTGGTGGACTTCAGTCCCCCTTACCTGCTGGGAAGGCAATGTAACAGTGCGTGGGCAATCCATGATGTTTTTGGAGAGTGTTGGGGATAACTTCCTTGTACAGGTATTGGAGAGGCCAACTAGGAGCTGTGCTCTTCTTGACCTGTTGCTCACAAACAAGGAAGAATGGTGGAGAATAGTAATGGATGGCTACTTGTGCAGCAGTGACCATGAGATGATTCAGTTCAGGATCATGAGGAAAGGAGGGAAGGAGACAGCACAGTACAGATCCTGGACTTCAGAAAAGGAGACTTTGACTCCATCAGGGAACTCATGGGCAGGATCTC